CACATTCACAGTTTCTGCATTCGTGGTTTTTTTTCAAGAACCTGACCTCCGCAAATATTGAGGGTCTACTGTACTGGTTCCAAGCCTTTTGTACAGTGAAAGTGAGAATATTTAACTCCCAAAGATGTAAAAAAAAACAAAGTGATTGTGAGGTGAATGAGACTGAGAATAATGTTAAGAGCATTTGGTAAGACTTCAAACAGAAGTGACAAAGAAACATAATTCAAGTATCAAACATAAGTACTGTACTGTAGTGTACTGTACTGCCAAAGGGAACATGATACTGAGCATATACAGTATACTAGGAGCATTTTCCCTAAACAATGTTGCCTGTTCATCATTGGTTTCCTATTAGAACCTACACTTCATTCAAATAAATGAGCCGAGAAGACGTAACTACTTACCAAGGCGTAAAATTTTATTTTCCATTTCATAACATTCAGATTGTAATCGCTGATTCTCCCGTTGTACTTCCTCGATTCTCTGAAATATAAATTAAGTGTAAAATGCATATACAGTATATAAAATGATTATACTGTGCCATTAAAAGTTTGTTTTGTTATAATTTTTTTAAGAAAAATCCTATTTTTCGCTTTACTGCAAGGTATTAACAGTTCCTGTTCTACCCAGGATAAACATCCAAACATCAGATTTATGTTACATGATATACTATTCAAAAAAAACTAATTATCAGTGCAAAGTTCTTACCATAGTGTTAGTGTCAGCGTTATGCTTGCGTTGCTGCTCTCGTTCATTTAATTCACGCATCATCATATCCACCTCTGTCTCTAATCTGCCTTTCTCCTCTATTTGTTTTGCTAGTTCAGCCTCAAGCTTTTGCTTGCGTACAATCTGCTCTTGTACCAGTGCTGTTGAATTGAATATACAGAGGATCTTAAAATTAGTTTCTCAAAAGCACTATACTGTACATCATGTTATGCCTCATTTTACTTCAGTCTTTTTTAACAAAGGTATAAATAAAGTGCGGTACAGTACAGTACTAAGATATTAAAATCAATACTACATTATTGTATTGTACAGTGTTTCAGTTATATATAACAATTACAGTTCTGCATGAAGGACTTGAACTCGGTTTGCTATTAAGTATCAAGATATAGTGTACAGTATAACATTAAAATTACTACCAAATTAAAAGCTGAACTTAAGTAGTTAACAGGCATTTCTATAACTATATGACCATTTCAAATAAAGTTCTAAACTGGTTCCTCCACTCGTTTACTGGAGACATAAAAAGTGGGATTAGACAGTAATCAAACATCACTGAAGGATTTCCATGAATCTTATGAAAATACCTCTGGTCTATGAGCATCATGCAAGATCCAGGTCAGCCATGGCACACACTAAATTATCAATATTACTGAACTGGGAAAAAGCCATATCAGGAGAGAAAACAAAATGTTTTGTATTAATGTAAAATCAATAAAAATTCCCAACACAGCCAAACACAATATTGCTCATATTTTTTGTTATAAACATCTAACAGCAAGCTAACCATTCTACTTTGCACAAAAGGTGGATCCTTGTGAAAAAAAAAGAAGATATATATATATATAAATATATATAAAGTTAGTAGCCATATATCTAGAATTACAGGATAATCAATCTATGGGCAACCTCCTGACACAGGGCAGCAGAGAAAGCCCCAGGGCACATTAAACAGGTTGTGGGGCCGTGTAAGTGGGTATCAGGCAGCACACTGAGGGGTGTACGGGGGACACACAGCAGTAGTGCATGCTGCTATACCTTGCATGTGGTCTGAATCAGGCCTGGCAGGTGGCACTGCCCATATGGGATCTCCTGCAGAGTAACCCAGGCTAGTCTCAGTGCTTGGGGGGTAGTGGAGGGGGTGCAAGGACACTGGAGGCCCCACACACTCTGGTAGTGAAGATTTGCGCTGTCTTGATTCAGGGGGCACAGAATCAGACATGTACCAGGATTGTGGGCGCCGTGATTGCCCTTGTACCCCCTCCTGCCCTACCACATCCCCCGTTGTGGGGAATGCAGCTCCCGTGGGAGTGGAACCACCATTTGCACTTGAGCTGTACTGGATGTGGAACGCTGTGTTGGCCTGGGAATTTTTATTGTCAAGGTTTGTGCGCATGGCAGAGATTGTGCCACCAGTGGGACCTATGGAAATCTGGAGGGAGGAACGTGAGCCATGGCGATGGTCAAGGGAAGAGGTGGAGTAGGTGAGGGAGGAGCCACTACTGCGAATTTGGATAGGTGGTTGAGGCTCACTGGATGGCTGTCTTAATTGAAGGTTTACTGATGTGTATGATCGACCACACACTGAAACTGTGCCATCACTTGAAGGAGGTCCAGGGGCATGATGTGCCCCATGGGGAGGGACAGGGGTAAGGTATAAGGATGAGATATGCCTCGGACCTGGTGGAGGTCGACTGCTACTGCTGCCATTGATGTTGTTGGGGTTTATACAGTTGCTCGTAGTGGTGGTGATCGTTGTAGTAGTTGTTGCTGTTGGAGATGGAGAATTTATGATATTGTTTAATGGGGGAGTTGGGGAATGATGTGGACTGTCATTCAATCTTTCAAACTGTTGTTCAAATTCTTGCATATTAAATGGAAGTCCTCTTCTTCCTTCATAATGTGTTTCTGCACTTTTACGACGTTCTGGGGGGCCTTTGTTTTCATAACCGATAAATGGGTCATATGAATTGGGTACAACTGGGGCTGAGTTAGGTAGAACTGGTGTGCTGGATCGAGACTTGGAAGCTTCATGGGAGCAATATGGAGTATCTTGTCTACTACAGCTCCCTTGTAACTGTCTTGTGGGTGGTTGTACACCAGCTGCACGAAATCCATTGGAGACAGAAGGGTGCCACCCGTAACCTACTGGATTATTGATTGGAGGTTGATAAAATACAGGGCTGGTAGTTAAAGCAGTAGTGGTGGGAGATGTATAAACTGGCCCAGGGCCATAACTGTATACTAGGTAGCCACTGGACTGCAATGGCCCAAACACATGATGTGTTGCAGTGGAGTGGTGCGACATCTGAGTTGTGGGAGTGGTTGTGGTAGTAAGAACAGGTGTGGTAGGCGTGGACGGTATGCCTGTTCTGATAGGTGAGGTAACTCGTGACATTGAGGGCGATGATAGTCCGCTGCCGGAGCGACCCCAAGGACCATAGTAACCACCATGGTGGATTTGGGTCTTCTGAGATAACTCCTCCTCACAACGTTCACGGTCAAGTCCATACTGAAAGCAAAAATACGCCTTAATTTAAGATCTACATGAATGTAGGGGACAATATGGAGTTCTTAGTACAGTTATTTGGTTTCAATTGATATAAAACATGATGAGCATTGTAATAATTATCTAATTCCTAAAAAGATTTATACTGTAGCACCACAAGCATTAAAAAGATATACCTGTAATAATACAATATTTCATAGCTATGTAGTCCACCTATAATATTATTATTGTTATTATAAACTGAAACAAGGAGTTACATCTCATTCACAACTAAAACAAAAATCTAACTTGCCAAAATACTATAGTTAGTTATTTGCCACTGATCTCCCATGCTTTACAGCTTATAGGGTGAGTTCCAAGTTTGTGATACCGTCATACCACTGGTCAATATAATGTAATGTACACTGAATAATGTACTGTATTTATGGGTTAGCGTTCAGACTGGACTGCATGTTGACTTGAATAAAAATTTTCATATACTTGTATCAGAAAGCCACAGATAAATGTTGTAGTACAGTATATAACCTGCCTTCTGCTACATCAAGTAACATCTGAGAAAAAGAAGAGCTAAATACTGTATAGCCTTCATCTAGAACCTTACTAAATAAATTCTTTATGTAAAGATTTAACATGAAATATAAAGCACTACAGTACATCATACACAATACAGTACTGTATCTCCATCACTAGATCCTGTGTGCTTGCAAGTGTGTGGCTAGAATCTAGTTTATGTATATAAGAGTTTTTGATAAAATATTGGTACCCTTTACAGTATATATATATATATATATATATATATATATATATATATATATATATATATATATATATATATATATATATATATATATATATATATATATATATATATATATATATATATTTCCTGAGTTGTACTAATATATTCCAAGACCATATCCATGCCAATTTATATTAAATTCCAAGTTATCGAGGGTTTACTGTATAATTTTGCTCTTTAAATTTTGAGAAAATTGCTGCATAATTGATATCAAAGTGTACTGTATTGTTAATCAAGGTTTGTATGTTCGTTTGACACTGCCACAATAGTGTATAGTTGAAAGGTAATGCACAATGTAGTATCATTCATTTGTAAATATTTTAAATTTTGAAAATGTTTGCAAAAAGAAATTAATTAAAAATGCATATCCCTTTGGATTTGTAAATAAACTTTCTTGTAAATGGTAATTTTCTTTTTGAGTGGAGTTGTTTGAAGAAAGTTTTTGTAAAGAGTGGAGCTTGATGTTATGTTTAAGAAGCTATTTATGGCACTGGTAAGTAATGTTGCTAAGTCTTTTAGTCTCATTTGTGTTCGAGGTTTGCAGAAATGAGCTTTACTGTAGCCTGAGCTGGCTTCTGGCCTCTGCCTTCTGTCTTGTTTTGAAGTTGTGTACTTATAACTGTTATTTTATGGGTCTGCAAATACTGGTAATATATTTCTGGTAAGTTGTCAAGTATACTGTCTCAGCCCCTGTATGGCTTATGTGATATACTGTAGATCACAGTAGTACCAGTGCATGGCTGCTCTGTTTCCTGGATGCACTTTTTTAATTCTGAGAGAAGCTGGAATGCCAGATTTTTCAAAAGCATGCATTATTATTCCTTCTTACTCTTAGACAGTGAGTAGTTATTTTGCATGTCGTTCTTATTGCTAAGGAAAGTGTTGTGCAAGTTATTTTCTTATTCTTCGCTGTTCTTCTGTCATTTTTATCATCTTCATGTGTTAATTAATACGTAATACATAATTACCATCATCACAAAGCAAATACTGTATCAAGCTTTTTTATTGAAGTATTTATTAGCAACATACTGTACAGTATTACACATGTCATTTTCATTTGAGAAAAGCATATACAGTACCTGTACAGTACTTCATATTAACTAGATGAAGTTATTTTTAAGTTATCAGTCAAAGATGGCAACACTGAAAATGCATCAATATTTTACCACTTAGAAAATATCCTAACTCATCAACACCTTTCCTAGGCTCTTCTATGCTGGTGCAATGGAAGGTCAGATGCCCGAGATTTTGACAATGATCCAAATCAAGCGTATGACACCCACCCCTGCAGTGCTGTTCATGGCCTTCCTCAGTCTTATCTACCTCATCTCAAGTAACATCTTTGCCCTCATCTCTTATGTTGGTTTTGCTACCTGGGTAAGTGAATGTTTATAATGTGTTAATGTAATGTACCTTCACTTATAGGGAATATATTTACTCTTATGTTGATAGGGTTTTTGAATTGATGAAAGCCTAAACCACCATGGTATGTAAGTTACATGAAACACAATAGAATAAATTTGCCATTCTAACTTTGCAACAGCAAAGTTTGTTAATGTTTACATGTAATGCTATGGTCAGAGTCCTATCACGTATGCAAAAGGGGGGCCCATATTAGGAAGGTTTTGGGTTATTTTTCACCCAGTTCTTCAAGACTGGATGAGTGCTCAGAAAGGACCCAAATGACCAGTTTTCATAAGTCTAATTTGGCTTTAAAACTTTGACTTCGAGAATGTAAATGAAACCATCAAGTTGGTAATCCATAGATCTCTGACAGGTATTAACACAGTAACTCATTATTTTTTAAGTCTTCTGTATATTCCAATGATATATTTTTCCAGATATCAATCGGCCTTGCTGTCCTGTGTGTACCGTGGCTGCGCTGGACAGCACCTGATTTGGAAAGGCCAATCAAAGTGAATCTTGTCTGGCCAATCCTGTATATCATCGCTACTATAATCATCACCATTGTTCCCATGATTGCAGCGCCCATTGAAACTGGTAATGCATGAAAATCTTTTTATACGGTATATTGTACTGTACCAGGAGTTTATTTACTCATGTAGTAAAACCAGAGTTGATATTCAATTTATTAATATATGTCCAAGTTGTAAGATCATACATAGTAGTGTATTTTTATGCCTGTATACACAAGAGAACTTAGAGAGAGGATTAATTTGTGGTACATAGCAAGTAATAAAATACTGGACCTGTTAAAACATAAAAGAGGATGATAAGGAAGATTTTGATAGATGAGAACTTTGAAACGAAATAAAATTAAAAAGCTTGTTTGAACAAAATGTTTACATTGGAATTACATTATTGCCAAGAAAGACAATCACAGATCATGGTGGATTAGAGGGGTTTGACCTGTACCAAATTATTGCATCAGATTTAATTTTTCCCATATTAAAGGTGCTCAGTGTGCAAGCATTCCTGTATTTTGTGAATAGATGCAATATTTAGACAAGAATGCCACTTACAGGTACAACAGTCTTTACATTACTTCAATTAGAATAATAGTTAGACAGGAATGCCAATCATTGTCATATTAACATAAAGGAATGCCAGTCAGCCCAAAAAATAATCAGGAATATGTGTCACTGCAATATTTATATGAACAGAAGCCAGTCTGCACAACATTTACATAGGAATGTCAGTAACTAGAATGCTAAACAAGAATACTAATTACTGCAACAGTTAGTTAGAGGAGTGTTGTAATATATGTAATGAAGATCCTGGAAATAATGGAGATTCAACCTCTTCAGGTATTGGTGTGGGAATTATCTCTACTGGTGTCCCGGTTTACCTCATCTTCGTCAAAATGCGGAAACCAGCTTTTATCACGACGAGACTAAGTAAGTACTGTACTGTACACGTAGGTTATGTGTCTTACCGGTGTGTACTTATGGGATGAGTTTGTGTTATTTTATTGCAAGTAAGACATGTGACCAATTTTGTAATTTTAGAATATTATTTTCTCATGTCTAATAGACAAATGCCATTAGGACATTATGGCAAACATTTACAGACCATGTTTTATGAGTGGAGTTATTGTTTTGTATTATGATAACAATGTTGTGTGAGTTTCATGTATCTTTGAAGTATAATGGCCATAGGTTTCCGTTTGTTTAGAAGACATCAAATATTTAAGAATCACTTAGTTTTACATTTGTTATGCAAAGATTTTATTAGTAAAGTGGAGTTAGTAATGTGAGTGACCTCTGTTACCTGTGGCAGCACTTCCATGGATTAAGTAAAAGATGCCATTTCTTCCATTGATTTATTATTATTATTTTTAATGCAGCCCCTTTTCTTGTCATTTACCCAGTTTCACTGTACAGTATTTTTATTAAAGTTACATAGTACTTTTCCCATTTCACTGGCATCATTTTTCCTGTATGTTCTTGCTGTCCACATTTATTGTGACTATAAAGTAACTTCAATCACGTTTTTCCTGGTGAATGCAAGTTATCATTAACAACTAATATATTATACAAAATTCATTTAATAATTTCTTCGCATTTCTGATGGATCTTGAGCACATAGTGGTGTGAAGACAGTCAGTAGTGTTAAAGTTTTCTTGAAAATATTACATAAATTTCCATAAATGTGGAAAAAAAAGGCATACAAGATATAGGTACACTTTTTATTTGGTATGTGAATTGTCTTAGTTAATTAGTATTTTAACTTACGTTACACTTTTGATTTCAAAGAATACTGAATATTGTGAAAAACAGCAATACTCTGCCTGAAAAAAGAAATATCATTTTTTAACAAGAACTATTTTATTTTTATTTTTTCATAATCTCGTCTCATCAGCATCCAATAAGTCATTATACATTTTTCATAAAGCCAGTAACTCTATACAATATATATATATATATATATATATATATATATATATATATATATATATATATATATATATATATATATATATATATATATATATATATATATATATATATATATATATATATATAATTTCTTTTTTTCTTCTTTTTTTCCATCAGAATCCTTGATAATCATTGAGCATGAACAGCATTTTTCAAGTCAATAGCTTCATTGTTCAGAACCTGTTAGGTAAGCCGTTCAGTACGTATTTTTATATTATGGTTCATATTTGCATGAATTATGGAATAGGGATAAATAAGAAGTAGAAAAGGGTGCTGAATAATAGAAGATATTACTATATTATTTCCATGCTACTGGGACCATTGTTTACATGTTGGACGAAGTCTAGGCAGAAGTGACTGAGTAGCTCATATGTCATGTGTATAAAAAAGTCAATATAAGAACTTTTAAGTAAACTGTTCCTATTGTCTAAATCTGTTCAAGTGAGGGAGGAGGATTGAGTGGTTCACTAAGGTCAAAGTTACTATGTTCATGAAATGTACTTTTTGTCCCCTGCTGCTTTGCAAAATATGAGACTAGATTTTAGTTATCCATCCCTCCATCTGTTATCAAAATTTAATAACTCTAAAGTATGCACAGTACAGTATTTTATTTTGAAACTTTACCAAAGTATGCATTAGCAAAGCCTTTATTTTTTATATGCCAATTTTTCAGGGGCATAACCAGAGATCAGGATGAAGATCAGACATATAAACAAACTTTGTGATTGCTCTGAAACTTTCGACAGTATAGCATGTTTCTCCATGATCTTAGGCAGTCAGTGGTGTGAAGAAGTCAGGAGTAAAGTAATATTGGGAAAAGGTGATCTCCCTCTGAAAATCTTGTAATGAGTCAACAATTGTAAAAACATTGTTGATCTTTAAAGTTGACACTGTCTGGTAGTGGAGTATATTGTGTTGATATTTCAAGATAACTCCCATATTAGTTAAAGAGTTGCAGAAGGATATAAGTTTATTTTATATTGAAGATGAACTTTCCCTTATTAGTTAGACCTCAATTGGGACAGTGCATGATACTTTGTCTTTTGGTGATGCAAGTTGCACCAGTGTGTCATGGGGATATTTTCATTGGTTAAGAAGTTGTGGAGTAAATACAGACAGATTTCTGTACTATCTAGGGTACTGCTGTAACCTTGAAGGTTGGTCCATGACGTATTGCCTGGCAGTTGCTGCATTGTGTTAATGTACCTTGATATCCTTTTTGGTTCATAGGTTTCAGGGTGGACATGAACACTTCATTAATATGCCTTATTTCATCCTTGAAGATACTGACCAAATATTATTTGACAAATTTCATACCACTTATGCATAATGTGGTAAAGCTTCATTGAGATGCAGTATTTCATAGTTTTAAAGTTATGATCCTGGAGGGAGGGATGGAGGGACAAATCGCCTACCGGGTAATTCTGCAGTGGTGGTGAACAAATCTGTTTCTGTTTAATTAAATAAAACTGTTATACAAAGTAGGTTTACAGTAAAGTGGGGCCATTTGTTTTTAGGATACTTTTATAATTTTCCTGGTAGGGGTGGTGACATGCCAGTATCATTTTGGTCTCTACATTTGCTTTTTTTTTTAGTTTATTTCATCTATTTATCATATTTCGGCTCAAAAACAGGCTGTACTGTACGAGAAATGGCAACTGTATATGAGAATCACATTGGAGACACCCTTAATGAGGTTGAAGAGCTAACTTGTGAGGTGGATTTGGGAGTGGTTGAGTTCAGTTACTGTATTTTCTTTTTTGACTAATAGTTTGATCAGGTGTCGTCTTGATGTTCTGATAAAAAAAAAGGTACAGTATTACCCCGCCTAACGCGGTTTCACTTAACAAATTTCATGTTTCATCTTGAAAAAAACTCAGCTATGTCAATACATTAATATATTAACTCTCTATTTATTTCAGACCCCAGACTCCCAGAGAGTTGAGATAAACCTCCTGCCAGAACCACAACTGCAGCTTGTCCTACAGTAGGTACCACCACTTCACCACCACCACCACCACTTCACCTCACCACCACCACCACCATCATCATCACCACCACCACCACCACCACCACATCTCACCACCACCACCATCTCACCACCTCAATCTCACCACCACCATCTCACCACCACCACCATCTCACCACCACCACCATCTCACCACCACCATCATCACCACCACCACCATCTCACCACCACCATCATCATCACCACCACCACCACCACCACTTCACCTCACCACCACCACCACCACCACCACCACCACCACTTCACCTCACCACCACCACCACCACCACCATCTCACCACCACCACCATCTCACCACCACCACCATCTCACCACCACCATCATCAACATCACCACCACCACCATCTCACCACCACCACCATCTCACCACCACCATATCACCACCACCCCACCACCCCCACCACCATCTCACCACCACCATATCACCACCACCATCTCACCACCACCATATCACCACCACCATCTCACCACCACCACCATCTCACCACCACCACCATCCACCACCACCATCTCACCACCACCACACCATCTCACCACCACCTCACTATGTCAATCATATATTAACTCCATGTATTTATTTCAGATTCCAGCTCACCACCACCATATCACCACCACCTCACCACCACCTCACCATACCTATCAATCAAATATATTAACTCTGTATTTATTTCAGATTCCAGCTCACCACCACCACCACCACCTCACCTCACCACCACTTCACCTCACCACCACCACCACCACCATATCACCACCACCTCACCATCACACCACCACCTCACTAGGTTGGGTTAGGTTAGGTATGTCAATAATATATTAACTCTGTATTTATTTCAGATTCCAGCTCACCACCACCACCATCTCACCACCACCATCATCTCACCACCACCTCACTATATCAATAATATATTAACTCTGTATTTATTTCAGATTCCAGCTCACCACCACCATCTCACCACCACCAGCTCACCACCACCATCATCTCACCACCACCTCACTATATCAATAATATATTAACTCTGTATTTATTTCAGATTCCAGCTCACCACCACCACCTCACCACCACCATTTTCACCACCACCACCATCTCACCACCACCATATCACCACCACCACCACCATCACCTCACCACCACCTCACTATATCAATAATATATTAACTGTATTTATTTCAGATTCCAGCTCACCACCACCACCATCTCACCACCACCATATCACCACCACCACCACCATCACCTCACCACCACCTCACTATATCAATAATATATTAACTGTATTTATTTCAGATTCCAGCTCACCACCACCACCTGATTAGGCTGGCAAGGGATTTATATGCCAAAGGCCAAGCCTTTACATAAATTAAATTCTACAGTATAGTGCCGTATTAATACTCTATTATGCAAGGGTTCTACACTAAAATTACATTTTTCAGTAAAAAAATTACAACCTTAAATGGAATTGATGACGAGGTAGTGAAATGGATCAGTCCACATAGGCCACAAACAAACCAGTCCTAGTAGGTCCCAAATTAACTAGTCCTAGTGGGTCCCAGTCCTAATAGTGTATACTGTAGGTCGGTCAGGATGGGGTGTATTAGGACTCATCATATGACCTAAAACCTTAGAATTTATGGTAAGGAATTGTCTTGTACATTTTTCTCAGTTATATCCCCAACAGTTTTAGTTAACAGACTTTATCTTGTCAAAATTATTAAGATAATGTCTTGGAATGTTAATGGTCTACGAAATAGAGTGACAGATGTACAGTACATTACTTTACCCTTAAAAAATAATATTGACTAATTACCCTTCAAGAGACTGGGGACAGGAAAGGTGACCTGCTTAAACTGTCTGGATATAAGGGATTTCATCTCTATTCGGGTGAAGGTATAAGAGGGGTCTCAACATACATAAAGAATTCCATACCAGCAGAACTTGTTGGAAGCCCGAGTAGAGTACAAGGAATAGAAAGTGTCTGTATGAAGTTATATTTGAAGGAAGGAGAATTGAACATAGGAAATTTTTATATTTCTGGAGGCTGTTTTGACCTCAACTTCTTACCAGATTGCATGTTTTTGGACTCAACTTTGGCTGTAGGAGATTTTAATGCTCGACATCCAAGTTTCGAAACAATGGGGAGAATTAACAGTAATGGTATAAAATTTTGGCAATTTTTACATGATCACCCAGATGCTTACTTGTTAGGAGATGAGGAAGTGACTCATATTAAAGGAGTTAGGTTAGACTAAGCTTGCATGATAAGCAGTCAGGGAGTCCAGGGAGAATGTGAGATAATAAGGGAGCTAGTCAGTGACTATTTTGTTGTGTATGTTCAATTACCATTAGGGAAGAGACAGGCGAGATGTAGGAGGAAGAGATTGAAACTAAACAAGGATGACACAGAAGTGTTTACCCAAAATATAGAGAAATGGTACATAAATTATACACCAGTCTGTATGGATAGCTTTTATAATGACTTAGTTGGGGAGATAGAAAGATATTTAACTAAGTCAACACAGAAAAAGATAAATGATAAGACACATGGGGCTAGGAAACACTGCTATACCAATGACAAAATGTTGAAGGGATGGACACAAATGTTAAGGGCAGCACATAAAGATTGGGTAAAGAATGGAAGAAGAGAAGAAGATAGGGAAATCTTCATGGACATAGCCAAAATATGTGGGCAGGCTAGGAAGGAGGCAAGGGAGAAATATTGGCAAGATTTTGCACAGCACATTGGGGAGAGTAAAAATCTCAAAGAAATATGGCAGGATATTAACAAAATTAGAGGAAAAATTAGTAATTTTATTAGTCATCCTCATCCAGAGGAAGAAGCTAATAAACTGGTTGACAAATGGCCTAAAGCAGCTAGTGTTGCCTCCCTGCCTAACAGGACAATAGAAGCATTAGATGACTGGCAAAATGAAAGAAGAAGATTTATTTCATCAGCTCTAAATATTTGTGAAGTAACATGTGTAGATATTACTCAAGATGAGTTATTAAATGCTGTTAAAAAGGAAAATCTACAGCACCAGGTGAAGATGGTGTGACTTATGAAATTTTGAACTGCTTAGTTGGTATGGAAAATAGTCCATTACAGTACAGTACTGTACTATTATGTAAAAAAAAAAAGTCCTACTTAGGAAAATTAATAATAAAAATTTACTTTGATAAAAGAATGAGCTCTCTCTCTCTCAAAAAAAGTCCTACTTAGGAAAATTAAAAATAAAAATTTACTGATAAAAGAATGAGCTCTCAGAAAAAAAAGAACATAGACCTGTAAAAGAAATTTCCATTTATGGTTTCATTTCACCGCAAACAATAAAATGACACAAAACTACCCATCACATAAAAAATAATAATACAGTAATCTACCACCCAATACTGGGATAAAATTTTTATGATTACACCAAATCCCCCAATCTTGCAAACTGCAGTGAATTTCTGTAGTTCATAAACACTTAAAACTTGAGTGCAGCGGCACACTTGGCATTTTCTTGTTAGCTGAGGGAAGCCCCAGCCCTCTAAAGGGTTTATACCATTAGCAGAAATCCAACCAAATGGGCTATGCTCTTCATATCTTTTATATCTAATTTTGTTGTACTGTATTAGCTTAACAAATCCACAGAAATGTGCCTATATACAGTACTGTACTGCCTTTTGTGGCACCACTGGAAATTGAACATGGTATTTCTTCAATTTACACATTTTTCTGTGTCAACATTATAATAGTGTAATATGGTCTAATATAGAGCTGATACATAGTAACTGTGGAAGACTTTTATCTTTCCACCAATAAACACAAAATGTGTAATTCTCAACTAAATATTGGTTGAAACTGGATGAAAACTAGATAGTTTAGAACACATAAAAAAGACAAATCCAATCAAGAAATTCATGGACAAAACTTTGTTTTTATCATACATGGAGAAAGCAAAAAATTGAAGCATATTTACAAGTTGAGACCTGAGTTGACTCCAAGAACTGGACAAGGTAAAGATTGTTATTTCTTATGATCACTTTTTTTTAAACCCTGAACCATGCTTATTTTATCCATGAATGAAGTTTGCAGGATATTTGGAATCATGTGCTCCACCACATTCACATCCTTGGTCTATCCTTCACATGTATGAGATACTGTAATTGTAATGTAATAGGGATGCAGATTTTTTGTTTGTTTTTTATCTTGGTAGAGGCAATGGCCTCCCCAAGAACTCTAGACAATTTTGACTACTGTATAGGCACGATGCAATCAAAACTGGTGGTTTGGCAACCATTTCCTTTCATGAAATTTCAATAATCAGCTTCAGCATGGTGTACTGTACTACGGTATGTCTTCTGAACTAAAAAGGATGCTCAGACACCCAATACATGTTCAATTTTAGCTGTGGACACAGTGTTTAGTTCTTTCCTAGAATACCACAGAATTACAAAATAAAGAAACAAGACAATTTGCACACCAAAAAAATCAACTGTACTGTATACTGTAATCCATAAATCCACTTCCACAAAAAAAAATATGAAATTTAAACCAAGCAAGTGAAATAAAACATTCATATACAGTACAGTTGTCAAACATGAAAAAACAATATCATAATATTCTAGTCCATCAATCTTCACTTAAAATCAAGTTACTGTGACTGCCTTCCCATTTGCTCATTCCCATTTAATGATGCTCAGCACTTGACTGAATCCTTCATGTTATCATTTACCAACGCAATAATTCCTCAACTCATTCTTTTACAATCCAGTTCCTATACATTCTACCCCAACTGCCTATACTGTACCTTTAACTATAATGTCATAATCCTTCACCATCTTTTGTACACAATATTTAATATTCTCAAACAAGCTCAATCAATACATTCTTTTCCAATATTTTATACCCATCTGCCCTCTTAATACAGGGTATGCTACAATAATCTACATTCTATCTACTAAATAAAACTTTTTGAGCTCCTAAAACTCCCCATCAATACTCTGGAAACATTACTCCCAAATACCTTGTTCATGTACAATAAATACAGTATACAGTATAAATGACTCCTACTCATAAGGTAATCAAACATCTGCTGTATACCCATGCACTGAACACGTCTATCTACTCAACACCTATACTCGAACCCCCGATCATGTACAGATCACATATTTTGCTACAGTATTCCTATAGTATTCATGTACAGTACTGTACTTAAATAACTCTACTTGAGTGCAACTTCCACTCTACCTCTGACGCATATTAAAAAATTGCTCTTACATGCACTCTCATTCAGCATTCTCTTCCCACACAATACAACCATTTGCCATTCAAATTTTTTTTTTACTTTCCATCACCTTGATTTAGCCATGCCACGCTAATAACCAATCTCCCATACTGCCTCACTTGTATAAGCATTAAAGCATGACAACATTACATTAGTAATAATTTCCCATATTTGTCAAATAAATGAGTCATACCACAACTTATTCCTAAACTGGCACAAGTGTCAGGATAAAAGACCACATCATTTTACTTTTCCATCTATACCATGTGCAGCCCACGATTCCAAATACCTGTACCATTTCATATGCAAAGTTAGTATTTTCCAAACCCTTAGACAGTGCACCTTTTTTTTTTTATAACATAGAAATACTGTACAACCTGTATAGGGACAAACTGCTTCTTTACATACCCTCTTCCCTCCCTTCAGCCTCCAAGGCATTTGAAAAAATAAAGCTATAACACTTGCACATCATGACTATACCAAAATATATATACAGTATACTATCTCTTGCTCCTGTGAAAAAACTTACTCCAATGAGAGGAACAGTCAGTTTTATGTAGTTCTAATGGTTAGTAAGAGCTGATACAGCCAAGCTTAGAGAAAGTATACTCCACTGAGGCCATTTCTTAAGTCATATCAACAAAATTTATTCTCTGTAAAACACTTCTACTAACACCCTGTGGTATCCTGAAATCAAATCAAAGCATCACGGATTATGTGGACACCATTACCCCATGTAAATACTATATAATGTGTATGGAAACTGAAGAAGTTGGGACTTTTTTTTCATGCTTGCAAGCCATTTCTTGGTATGGTGCAGGAAATTTCTACTTACTTGTTCAGTCTGTGTGTGTCATTTTCTACACATGCTTTGCACCATCCTCCCCTAACATTCCCCCCCCCCCCTTCTTGTTTATGTATCCCTTGATCCATCCCATACAAAAGGTGTAAGAGGTGTTAAAATAACAATTAGATAGATGAATGGAAAATTAAATGGCAACTGCCTAAATATTAGACTTGTTAAAACATACCTAAATTGCACTACTTTCATAATGGGAATCTAGGGGGGAAAATATAACTTAATTATCCCTCGCCATGCCATTCTGATGAGAATAATAACAACACACTAACAGTACTGTACTGACAAAGCATTTCTCTTCAAAGGCTTTATTGTATACCCATACACCACTGAACAATTTTTAAGTTTCATCCCCTATCTCAATTCACTTAAATGAAAACAAACAAAAAACACCCTCAGTTTAAAGCCTGTAGTGAACACAAACGTCTTTGCAACCATATTGTAAAAATAACTCCAATTACATTCTGAATATCAATTATAAAGTTTTTCTACATATACAGGGTATATTTGGAAAGGAGCTCTACTAACATACCAGTACAGGGCTCACACTGCAAGCTTTATGTATGTAAAGATAATCATAAAAAAAAGTGAAAAATGTCACTTAACCCCTAAACTGTGATCAACGTATATAGACATTTACATGGGTGTTTGCGGCCAATGTATATAAACATGGCAAATTTACGATGGCGTAATCAAATGTTTGCACAGTAAAGAGCACTCTGCTTCCATTTACTGGCCACAAAATGCAACTAAACAGACATTACTCTCTACAGTACACTGTAAGGTAGAGTAGGAATGCTTTTTTTTTTTTTTGTAAATGGTTAGAAATATGCAGTGTACCAGTAATTTTATGTCAGTAAGAAGGTTTGTATACTGTATAAGTAAGTAAATAACTAAGTTACTTTGTGGTAGGCATTTGATAAATCACCTCACCAAGCCAGCTATCGCTACAAATGCCTCTGGTAAGTATAATTTTTGTCACATTCTACAGTACAGTACTCTTCTGTATGTCACTACTACTGTATTTCACACTATTGAAAAAACGATGTTTTTATTTTTGTTTTTGTTTGGGGTGATTGATGAGATATCTGCAGCCACACAGTAGGGGTTAAACAATTTATTCATGTGATTCACTGGTAGCATTCACATATGAGTATACGTAGAACACAAAAACCAGCAAAATATTATAGAATTAATGTCATAAGGGTTGATTCCATTTTAGCTAGTTTATTGGTGTGTGTGTGTGTGTGTGTGTGGAGGGAGGGAGATGGGTCAAATGTGTATCTAAAAATATAGACCAATGACAAAATTTGCAAGTAGCAGCATGAGCCCTATATTATTTATACCGTATGTGCCCTTAAATATTTAACAGGAATGATATTGCATCACACAGTTGAACCAGACAACAGGAGACTGGCTTACAATATGTAATATTTAGTTTAATTGTCCAAAATACAACAATTAACTTCCCTACAAGGGAAGGGGATTTACAACAACAAAGGCAAGACTTTTGCTCTTTCAAGAACATTATTGTTAATAGTCTATCTTGCTACACAGTTCAGCTTAATCACTAAGTATAGATGAATTTCCATTACACCATCTAGGTTCATTTTAAAAACACAACTAAAGACTTGTTATTACACTCAAGAATCAAATCAGTAACACTTCCTTAATGAGCTACTGATAACAACAATCTAGTCACAGTACATATATCTCGATGACTAAGTCTGCATAACTGTTGATAACAATATTATGTTCATACTAAACAATAACAAGTTGTAAGACTTACAATTTCTACATTAATATTAATAACTATCCAAGATATCTTATTATAATTCAAATAAACAGCACTGATTCATTACAGGGCTATTTTCACATATATTAGCTAACTAAAGTCACAACTTGCAAGTAAACTCAATTATACTGCATTCTGCACCTATGAAAAAATCCAACACTCTCTCTCGGAACAATAATAATGAATAACATTGACTATTTTGCTTCAATATGTTGCAGACATCTTGAGTGAATATTCCATGAATTAAATTATAAAGGCAGAAATATTAAAGAGCAAAAGGCTTATGTTACTGTGTCAATATCAATTGATACCATCAACACTAAGATTACCCACAACTCTACATGTGAAAGTGCAATCACTAAGGACCAGTTAACAAGTCTCTGCTGTATCCATTAAAGTGTGTGTGTGTTTTGTCATACAGTACACCTTCAAAATAAATTAACTTGAAAATAAGGTTTTATATACTGTATTATATACAGTATACAAATTCTGTTCAAAACACATATCTGATGAAATGGGTGTAATCCAAGTCTATTATTCAAGTACAGTATATTGATGAAAAACAAAGGGAAATAGCACTAAGAGGATATGACATATTCTAATCTAAGTGTCCTTTCCTGGTTCTAATGTAAGGATGATGCTGGCAATTTCTATACTATCTGTCTCTTCAAAAATGATGTCACACACATACAGTACCTGATAATTTTATTGTCCACATTTCAAAAAGTAATTATTCATATACAGTACAGTATTTTCTACACATGTCTATTGGTTTCAAATGGCAGGTTAATTTTCTTAATTTATGTACCACACAAAAACCTGACTCCATATACTAATGCATTTCTTACACAGTGTTTTACTGTTCAAAATACAATGTACAGTAAACATTACTATTCAACCACAATACTTTAAGCATTTTATTAAGGTTATATATGAAGCTGTTAATGATATCAGAAATGCTAACCAAATTCTTCATATTTTCAGGCTTATTAAAAAGATCATATACTGTACATTTCATTACAGTGAATATCAGTACTCTATTTTTTTAAGTCATACAGCAACAAAATGTGTTTGATCTTCATGCTAAGATAGATGCTCAAGACATTAGCCAAATACATGCCTACATGTAAGGAGGAAAATAATGTGATACAGAGGGGGTATATTTATAATCCCCAAATAACTACTGTACAATACAGTACAAATTAAGAAGATAATGCTTCTGTGTTTAAGTACACTGTATTATGCAAACTGTAACTTGCTATTCAAACAGCAAATATTAACTAATAATCAACTTAGGGTAGGTGAGTTTTGCATACTTGGTTCTGATGCAGTTTCATACATCAGTAAATCAAGAAATGAACCCATTCACTTCATTTGCTCAAAAATTACATACTTCCAGCATTCAAGCTGATTAATTGAAATAAATTTCTATGTTAACACCTATTTCATTAAATATAATCTGACTGACAGGCAGCTTTTTAGTTTCAATAAATCTATGAACAATGCCTCAGGTCTGAGCCTAGTTCATAACCAAGTTCACATCTAAGCAAAAATATATCATTAAGATCTTTTTAAGTTACCTAACATGAACACAAGATGGACCAGATCCCCCTCCCCCCCCAAAAAAAAATATATAAACTTCATAAAGTTCTCTTAAACCCACCAAACAATAACATATTTTACCTTGATAAAATATAACTTTTGAACCCAATAATGATTTAAATCCATTTGTAACTGAATTTAAAAGTACACATATATGTGAAAGTATTTAAACAATGAAATTTATACAAAACTTATTTTTGAATCTGCCAAATCTGAGTAACTTTAAATTCAATTAAATGTTTCCACACACACACTGTTCATTGCATTAAAAATTTATTCAATGCATACTGAATTTTTTTAAATGTTTTGTCTAAATAGATCAATATAACAAACTTATGTCCTATGTACATGGCAAGTATCTGCAATCACTGACACATTCATTTCAAGTACCTAAGAATACTATCTACAGCTGAAAAATCATTCTTCATGTACTGTTTTCCTATGGTACAGTAATTGCAACATAACTTGTCCACGCATACCAGGAGCTTAGAAGGTCACCCAGCCACTTCCGGATCCTCCACTTGGTGGATTACTGCACAGGAAAGTTTAAGAAAAATATTAATTCCTATTACAATAATTCAACAAGCCCCTATATGTAACTGGTGACAGTTCAACATCAATTTTATAGCAGATAAACTTCAGCATTATGCTACTGTACTTATTGTCAGCCACCTACCCTAAGAAGTGGTGTTTATATGTGTACATCAATGTGCAAGATATGTAAACTAACCTAGATGGTGGTGGTGGTTTAACAGCTGCACTGGCAAAATCCCCCCATGATTCACCAGTACCACCTGCAGCTCCTGGTTGAGCTACAGGATTGCCTGATACACCAGATAAATCTTCCAGTATATCTCCACTTGATGAAGATGGGGATGTTGTTGCACCTGGAGGTGGTGCTAGTTTTACTCCACCTGGGGGTGGTGGTAGGAGTCCTAGACCACCAGGTCCTGCTTTGGGCTTCGGTCGGCTAGTGCCTTCTTGGCCCTCCTTCTTCTGGTGGTTGAAGTATTTTATGAATAACATTATTGTAAGATGGTTGATTAGGTTTCTATTTTCCTGTGTCCAAATACAAGAAACTAAATCTCATGATACTTATCTTTCCATTTCTTGAAACCTCTGCAGTATTCTTTCTTAATTATTATGATACCTACTGTCCCTCTCAGCTTTTTATCTCAAATAATGCAATCATATACTCTATCTTCAATAGAAGTCTATTAATGATCCCCATAAATGCATTCTTGAATTTCTTTTAAAATTACTAGCACGTTATGTAAACCTTTATTATATTTTTCCACACTTGTGAGCCTTTTCTACAAGTAAACTAGATGACCAGACAAGTGCTGATCCTGATTCTTCTTATTCGGCAGCTAGTGAGTTCCCACACCTACTTGGTAGGATGCCAATCTACCAAGGGGTTGCTTCATCATCAGCAAGTGCATCCAAATGTGCACTAATTTTTTATTTATACTATTGAGTGTAGAGGGGTTGGTGTTCAAGGAAGGAACCCAATCCTTCTCTTTGACCAAGGAATTGAACACAGCACCATTTGCTTGCAAGCCAAAGGTTCTACCAATGAGATAAGAGTCATATTAGTTTTATAGGTAGTAGGCAGCTACCAAACAGGGAGGTACTACCGCCTGGGAAGATATTGGAAGCATAATGTGTTGTCTAAAGGTAGACCCTGCTGCCATATGGCATCACAAAAATTGTGACCAAGTCCCAGGTTGCTGATCTGACTTTCTGCCTCATTTACACACAATTGCAGGGTCTCAATTGTTTCTCTTACATTGACAACACAACATACATATATCATTTCTCACTACTGATATATACAGTATATATATATATATATATATATATATATATATATATATATATATATATATATATATATATATATATATATATATATATATATATATATATATATATATATATATATATATATACTTCATTTTTAGTCCATATAACACGCGGACATTGGGCTAGCTGGTAAGCGTTCCCTAGTCCCACCCAGTAGGTCGAGGGTTCGATTCCTTGCTGGTGAGGTCGTTGATTTTATATATATATATATACAGTCAACCCTCACTTTACGCGGTCCCACAATCCGCGTTTCCACGTTTACGCGGTGCCCTGCCGGAACCCAGGATGCTCACATTCCGCGGTGCGTGTACCCCTTTACGCGGAGAGCGGCTGGCGAGCCGCGCTATTTTTGGATCCAAACCTCCCGCCATCCGCCATGTTGTGTAAGCGGCGCGAACATGGTGCGCACAACGTCACCCAGTCATCAAAACATTACCAGTTCTTCACCCGCCACCCACCACAGCCGGCCCAAGTCAGTGATAGTGATAATTATGGTGAGGATATGGACTTATATGGACTTTGGGGAGTTTGACAAAGAGGCCCTGCAAGCCTCTGTGGTGGATAGTGATACAATTGATACAAGTGATACAGGTGAGGGCCAATAATCTGCCCTCTGCCTCGGAACCAACCGCCCATCCCCGTGTGCCCAGCCATTTTTTCTACTAATGTAAGTGTTAAAAAACCTAATATTATTGATATTTCTCTTAATTATTAATTGTGTGTGCATACCATCATAAAGTTAAGATAATATTTTTACTACAACATAGTTGTGTGTCGTCAAAAAGTGGAGTTTGGGGATCGGCCCGGACTCCATTTCAATTAATCCCATATGTTATGTAATTCACTTTACGCGTTTCTCACTTTACGCGGGACCCTCCGGGTTACATTAACCGCGTAAAGTGAGGGTTAACTTATATATATATATATATATATATATATATATATATATATATATATATATATATATATATATATATATATATATATATATATATATATATATATATATAAATAAATATAAAGTTATTTATTTATTTTTTATTTATGGCTCTTTATTATTACTATTATTGTTGTTAGTATTATTATTATTATTATTATTATTATTATTATTATTTTATTAAATTTTTGCCCACCAGGCCATGATGTGGGTCATAAAATGACCTGTGCCCGGGTGGGCTAATGCCAGTAAAAACAAAAATTTTAAGTTTTAAATAACTTAGGCTTCACTTACTGTAATTTTCATGTTGATTTTAATAGTCTCACCATCCTTAAAACCCAGATCTAGGCTAGGTTTACCCTCTTCCTTCTCCTTCTCTGCTTCTTCTTCCTTCTTTACCCATTTGAAGTGATCTTGAAGTGCTACATTCAAATCAAAGCTGTCAGACCTATCACCAAACCCTATTCCAATGAATGCTGCTCTTCCTGAGGAAAGAACAATTAAAGGGAATTAAAAAATGCAGCAAAATTACAGATGAACAAATTTAGAGGCACTAGAAATTTTCAACTATTGAACATATAGAAGAAATGCCATGCAACTAACCCTCTCTCTTTAAATCAGGGATGTGTAAACAAAAACACATTTCACCTCTCCTCCAGGTCAACAAGAGTACCAATACAAAAGCTAAACAAAACCATTTATGCAGGTAGTTAATGTCTTGAACACTATTTTATAGACATTCAGGTACTGTTTATTTAATTGGCCTGTGTTAGGTGTTGTTGGACGTTGTTAACTCAAGTGTTGACAGCATAGAGTATTGAAGAGGTACTGTAGCTATTGGAGAAATTTACCAAATGGAAGGATGGAAACGAGTTAAAGGATAAGAGATTGAATGTGGCATGGGTGGATAACCTGTGGTAGAAAATGGCCAAGTGTTGCCTGTAAGAAAGGTTTTTGGCAATAATTCAATAATGGGCAGTGACTGTTGAAAGTCGGTACTGAACACATGAGTTGCAGTGGTGTAAATGGCAGACTGTAGGATGTTGCTGACTTTATGTGCCTCAAGATGGAAAAGCTCATTATTAGGGATATATCCTAGGAATACATCAATTACTTCTGCTACCCAAGTGACATGATCAGTGCTGGAGATGGTGCAGAAGCTACCTCAGTTGCAAGAGTCAGAAGTGGCTGGAAGTTTAGGGAGCTGTTGCTTTTATAGATAGCAAGAGGACTTTCTCTTCACTTGAAAGGAAAGTTGTATGAAGCTTGTATAAATGTATGTTGTTGCATATGGTTAGATGGATATGTAATGTAATGTTGAATGATGGGGAAACATGTGCAATCAAGACTGGGCATTGAGAATATTGACAGGGTAGGCTGATGCGGTTTAGGCATGTGGAGATACTAAGGAAAACAACTACGTCAAGAGATACTGGAGTTTAAATGTGGAGGGGAGGAGAGCTAGGGGCAGACCAAGAGTGATATGTGGAGAGGTTGTGAGAAATTATCTCAGGGATAAGCACCTGAATAGTGAAGGCACAAGAGATCATGCGGCCTGAAGAGCTGCCATCAGGTAATCACAGCTAACCCATACAAAAGTGAAAAATTGCCATAAAAAAAACGTTGATGGTGATGATGATGAGAAAGAGACCACCCCATCCAGTGTTCAAGCCTGAGAATGAATCTCCTCATGCCTGAAACTAGGAGTGGAGTTATTGAAAAGAACCTTAGACTTAACCCTGTATGGGATTGATCCTTAACAGTTAAGGATCAAACAAAATAATCCCATTCAACCCTTAAGATTGTTGTCTGTACCTGGGATGCCTGAGATGTGCATAGTTATGTCATATATATCTTCATCAATACAATTTTGACCTGTAGGTGGAAAAGTTGGGAATATAAAAACCATAAGGTACTAAAACACAGGTTAAGGCAAAAAGGTACAGTACCATAACTCTAAGATAAAGAATAACACAATACTTTTAAATAAAAAACATTACGGTACCTCCTTCATCCTGTATTCTCAGTACAAAATAACGAGAAGAATCTGTCACAGATTCTATGGCCACTCCAGGATATTTGTCAATGGGACACTTAGCAAACAGCTCGCCTGATGATTTGTCTTCTAATTTTATCAGACATTCATTTTTCCTGTTAACAAGTCGCATTCGTCCAGTCCAGTCGGGGGTTCCAAGATTCCAGTCTGCTGCTCTGAAAGGCAATTTTCCTTAGGGTAGAAACACAAGAATATCTATAACAATCGAAGCACTGTTCTTTCAATCCATTTTTTTTCTAGCAGAGCCCTTAACAAGTCTGTTCTTGTAACACACTAACTGTCATTTGGGATATTCACTACTCTCAGACAAACCCCAATTAATCAGCCAATTACTGACCATTTACCCATCACACCCACCCTGTTAGGGGGACAACAGGTGCAACATTAACCCACTAGACTCACAGTATAGTAGTCACATCTCACAAATCAGCACAGTAAGGTTCTGTTATGGTGAAGAGAGGGTATCCAAGCTGCCTGGCTATAAGCATTGCTTGAAAGGGGATGTGATGTTCAATCTCACTGTTTCTTGATTACAACTCTCACCTGGTGAATCCTGTAATCAAAACACAGCTAGGCATGTAAAGGTGCTACAAAAATGCTCCAGGGTCAGTCAGACAGGAAGAATCAGGAATGTCACTTTACCTTACAGTCTCTTGTCCCCATCCTTGCACCTCTAGTCAATGAGAACAGTCAAGTGAAGTTGCTTCTGATGCATTTACCATTCATGAACTATGAAGGGCAGCAAGAAAGGGATAAATCCACCCAGAGCATACTGTGTTCCAATACTGTACCATAAATGAAGTTCTGTACCACTATTACAGTATATCCATACATGAACACTATACAGCTGAGGATGAAGAGAGAATAATGTCTCCCAACACACAAAATACAGAGGCTTTGGACAATGCTCCGGAAAGAGAGAAAACCAATTCTTCATGGGCCAAAATGGACCTTGTGTATTTACCGTTAATGCTTTTTTTTATCTTTACTAGTAGGTTACCGAGATAAAAATTTACACAGTAATGCAAAATACACAATACAGTACTGATACATTGGATATACAGTACAGTACTGTATAAAAATAAGGCAAGTTTCAAAAGCATCATTTGAGTCTCAGGTCACATAAGGTCTGATTATGGTCACATGACCAATACACATTTGACCTGATCTCACCTGAAATATACCCTTCTTGGCACTACCTGGGTGGAGATTCTGACCTGAATGACCTGTGACAATATGTTTTCATGTCGACACTGGTCAGTTATTTCGGTGTCGAAACGACAAACCACGTCACTTGTCATGTCAGGTAGGAAATTGTGCTGCCTTGGATCTGCCACTACAGCATTATGATATACAGTGTCTACAGTATTCAATACGATCTAAATACAATTATAAAAGGTGAAACACAACACCTTAACAAAAATCCTCCCCAGTGTCCACCAGCATCAGAAATGAACCTGAACACTTACTGAACTCTAGAGTGTCGAACCAGCCACAATTTAGATATTGGCTTTCATGTGTTAAAATGAGATTACTAATTTACTATAAAAAGAAAACCAAATGATTTGTCAAATTTTCCTAATTTGATAATCATGCCAAAAACAAAGCAAAACTAAGTGATATCCCCATTAGCCGGAACATTTGGTGCAGAGCTCTTGCAGGAATTTTCCTAGAGATTTCCGGGTACAGAGACGAATTTTTCTCCTTACTGGAATTTTTTCCAAGTACTGTACTGGGGAAGTTTTCAATGTTTAAACCACGCATCACGCACAGACAGACACAGAGCTGTATTTATTTATACAAACACCATTGTACAATGAAAAACAAAAGTCATGTCGTGAAATTTGGTGAAAACATATGCCAAAGGGCTAAACTTTTGGTGCGCTCTGCCTTGTGGTAGGGCTCTCGTAATGTTTCACAAGTTATATTTAATCTTCAGGCAAAACCGCGACACGACTTTCGTCTTTGATTGTACATGTACAATATGTTGTAAATAAACAAAACACAGTATACTACTGAACCATATATGTACTATACTGTACTCACCAGCAGATACTGTTGTCTTGGGCTTGTGATGCAGGCAGACTAAATGGTGATATGATGATACAGGTTGGCTGATGGCCTGCTACTGTCCTGTACCATCTACTGTAGCAGGTGTTACTAACTGTCAACCTTCTCTCCCTCCATGAAAGAGGGGTTGTACACATACTGTACAGTATACTATACATACACCCCTACACACTATTCTACAATAGGCATACACTGTCCACTCTGCTATACACAGTACTATATAGTATGTACAGTACTTTCACACTTACTGAATGTACAGTAAAGCACAATATATGTAACGGTAATCACTTTATACATTTTAACACTGCCTTAACATTGTATTGTTGGCTGATTGTGTCCTGGTACAGTAATGTACAGTACGCTGTACTGCACAACACAAATTGTATGCATAAAACAGCAGCGAGCGAGGGAACAACTTTGTACAATGGCAGCAGATTATGAACTAAGTGTACGAGCCTACAACCTAAGTTCCCCAACCAGCTAGCCCACCCACACACCCGGCACATGGGGATGCATTGGAGCATGATGCAATGCCCCGGAACTCCCAGAAAAATTTTTCCTATGCCCAGAATGGAGAGAGTTTATCCAAAATTTCCTGGAAGGTTCAAAATTCATTCCGGCCATTGGAAAGTTCTGGAGAGGGGACCGGAGATTTCGGCTATCAGAGAGAGTACTGTACTGTACTGTATTGTATTGTAAAAAAAGTTGGTGCCAATTTTTCTTGTATAATTTATCCTACATCCATTTGCTTTAACCCATACAGCGTCAACGGCGTAACAGTTACGCCAATATACTTTCGAGATAAATGAATAAGTATTGTAAAATCTATACAGTACTTATAATGCAAAAGTGAAACCAAATAAAAAATAAATAATTATAAAATCATACAAAAAAAATTAAGTATTGGTGAAAATTATTATGAAAATAAGTGTAAATAATACGAAAAAGGATAAATATATTGATGTTCTGAAATCGAGATAGATGATAAATAAAGAAAAAAAAACAGCAAAAGACAGTGAAAACTTATGGTAATTAGCATAATTCCACTCTCACTCGATGAAAAATGTCAACACCCGTAAGACTCTACGGGTTCTACGCGTAAACTTTCAACGCCGCGACACGTTCACCCATGGGCGTAACTACACCTTCCATGGTCCAGTGAGTTGCTAAATAATGTTTTTCCATCATTATACGATAGTATAAGTCCATTTTAGCCAAAATCTAAAAGTAAAAAAATTGCCGACACCAGCAGAACATAATTATATTAACTTAGTTGACGCCGCACGGGTTAATGCTTATAATACAGGTATGGTGAGGGAAGATGAATAAAATGTTACCTAAAGAAAAAATCATACGTTGAATAGACATGTAAAGTATACAGTCTTGTTGATGATCATTCATTCAAAGAACTGTTAATTAACACCTTTGGCTACTACACTCAATTCAGTGCCCAGTGGTACATACCCATTGAAGACACATTTTTATGATGCATTTCATTTAAATTATTAGAGCACCAAATATAAATAGTCTGTGACACAATAGGAAAACAGGATAGTTAGAGTATCGGTGCATGTGTTTATTAATTAACCTAAATCAATGAAGTATATTTAAAATGTTCCGTTCCTTTAGTAGAATCGGTAATACTAGAGGAGATGGCTAACACCAGGAGGAGTTGATCGATTTAATTCATTTTTCCAAAGATGTTTTTATCATTACAGTAAAGATTTTAAGAGGAGACAACTTTTTATTTTAATAAAAATAATTTTCTTCTCTATCTATGATCATAAATAACCTGTAGTGGGCAGGACATGAAGGATGTCTCTACGTGATTTGTTTACAACTGACTTGCTCGGTCTGATTGTACTCTCACATCCACAAAAACGTAAAATATTACACCATGACGCCCCAACAAAGTTACATTCATTACGGTAGTACCAGATATCACATAATATACTTTCTGGTTAATATGGCGGGGGGTCTGGGAGGCGGAAGTTAGGTAGGTTTCTTTGATTGGTTAGGTCAGGTTCTATTAGGTTCTAATAAATGTTGCCTCTTTTAAAATACTTTCTATAATGATAAAAACATCTGGAAAAAATGAAAAAAATTTTACGCCTTCTGGTGTTAGCCATCTCTTCTAGGATTACCATAGAATCTATTTCACGATGCAGTTTACAAATCCCATCATTCTGAATTTGCTTCATTGAGAAGTGAATTATCTGTGGCGCCCCTATCTTGCAAAGATTGACAAAATCAATCACTGGACTACCGGGTAGGTCTCATTTTAGTGTGAATGAAGTTCTACCGACCATTGTCAAAGTAGAGTTTTTTACCACTCAGTGGTACTCAGTGGTTCATTTCTAATAAAATAAGATTTTGTTCCATTTTGTTCATCAATTAAACAGAGTGAAAAGTCATGGAGGTCACAGCCTACTTGCTACTTCATGAATAAAATAAAATTAAAGGACATATTTATATTGCACCTTTAAATGAAATTCTAATAAGTCATGGAAATATTTTGGTACAAGTTATAATGTTGTAAATGATTATTTATTATCATCATTTCGGTCATCCAGGGAATCTTAGGAATTTAGGTTAGATATATTTCCTGGGTTCTGTGGCTAGGTTAGGTTATGATGGTTAGGTTAGGTTTGGTAAGATCAAAATCATTCAGAACACGTAATAAAAAAGTTTGGAATACATAGGTATGACCGAAACAATAACATTACCAATGACTGAATAAGTGTGCAGTTAAATTTCAAATTAAGAAATAAATTATTACTGTACTGTACTTGTTTGACCCAAATTTATCTTTGCTAACATAATTTGACCCCTAATACAACTCTCAATAATTTCCTTTATGTAAAGTTTCTTATATATATTTGTTAATAAACTGACAGAGCGCTTCTGGGATTTCACCACATAATCTTTGCCTTGGTTGCACGTACACCAAGTTATTTTCATTATTATCAAACACCTGTGTAAAATTTCCTGGATCTATCACTAAGTAGTACCACTATGGTGAAATGAAATCCTGGACAATAAATTACAAGAGTGAGAAAACAGCCACGTACACACTCTTGTTTAGAGTAGATGAGAAACGCCCCCAAGAGGTCAAAACTCTCCGTGTACAACAGTTGGCTATTATGTATTGCTTCACATAACACCCTCATTACCTCCCAACAATATCCTTTAGCTGATGATAGGTGTAATGAATGCGTATTTATTACCTATAGCCTCTGTTAGTAGTTCGGGGAGGTATTCTGTACACGAACACCTCAGACTTGACAAGCAATACACTCTCGTAGTCATCCATTGCTGACACTCACACTGCAGGGCCGCCTATCACATCCAGTTTGTGTATTAACGATCTCCTCAATTGCAATAACCAACCAGAAGCCTAATCAAAATCTTATATCAATATATTTAAAAGTTTTAAATGTAATTCCTATACGTTCTGTAGGAATTTATTAAAATAAAACTGTTTGTAATTATAATCACATCACCAGAAATTTATAAAAGTACCCGGAACTACTGGGGTAAACACGATACAGAATACAACCGGTAAATTCAATTGCCTCAAAGATTTAACGACACTTAAATTCACACAAAGTTTACAGAACAGTTATAAATACGTCTGAGATCATATAAAGATATTTTAAGTGCTATAAATGTATGAAGCCAGGTCTATATTTAGCAGGGCCGGATCCAGCTCGATGCAACCAAAGCACTTGCATCGCTCAAAAAGTCTGACCGATGCAAAGAATCATTATACTGTACATTGGTCAAATAATAACCTATCGGTATTGACCTGCATGGCCACCAACTTCTGACCGTGGCTGTCACTTTCTGTACCCGAGTGGCAAGTTTTCTGATCTTCAACTCCTGATATCTCGGTTATGGGTAAATGCGTCAAAAGAGTAAATTTTTTATCATATTCGCCACTTATCAGCTTACTAGCTTACTTACCATTAGAAAAATAAAATTATCGAATCATGCCCTCTCCAATAAAGTGATCAAAGTAGTGACACTACGGGCCAGAACAGACATACAGTTGCTAGCTGGATACAGTAGTGATACAGTGGGCCAGAACAGGCATACATTATCATTTATGTTAGTTAAACAATAGTTATATATAAAATATATATTTTGCAATGAATTTAGTTAAGAATTATGTTACGTTGGGTTAGATTAATTTAGTGTGGGTTAAAGAGATATAATATTGTATGTATTCTTTTCCAAAACAGTTTATTTAAGTTGTAGTACATTTGTCTTTGTTAGTTTAATCGTATCACTTGAAGATTGGACACCCCAGCTTATTTCATCTGAAGAATAGACGCCCCAGCTTATTTCATCTGATTTTATATTAAACACCCCCACGTGACCTGCGGGGTTAGGTTATATTAGTTTAGATTATATTAGGTTAGGTTAGGTTAGCTTGTTTACTCACCAGGTGAAATAAGCTAGGGTGCCTAATTTTCAGCTGAAATAAGTTGGGTTGTTAATCTTCAGGTGAAATATGCTGAGGTAGCTAGACGGGACGAAGAGCATAACAGACCGAATGTGAAAAGGACCTGGTGTGTATATTGACAAATGAACTGAAGTTCTTGGGCCATTGTGAGCAGATGGTGAATCAAGCAACTAAACTAGTAGGTCTTATAAGAAGATCGTTCAGATATTTAGACAGTCCCTCGTAACGACCTGCGAGAGTGAAGTGGTTCCCCGTCTGGGGTACTGTCACCCCGTCTGGTCCCCGAGATATGCCAGGGACTGTCAGTTGATTAAAAATGTTCAGAGGGCCACCAGATTGGTGCCTGCACTAAGGCACCTCACTACCCAGAGCTTAGAACGCCTGCAACTGCCTAGCTTATAATATAGGCGGGTAAGGGGTGACTTAATTGAAGTTTACAAACATCTCAGAGGACACACCCAGTTGAGTGTCCATACCTGGAGCTGGCGGGCGCCCGCCCCACTAGGGGTCACAGCTCAAGGTTGAAGAAGCCACAAGTCCAGAAAATTGTGAGGGCAAACTTTTTTGGAGTGAGGATTGTGAACTCTTGGAACAATCTGCCAGAGTGTGAGCTGTTTCAAAACCAGACTTGACCAACATTGGTGCAAGTACAGATACATCCTGGAGCCGGTGCATGCCCAGTACTTGCCAACAGTGCATAACAGAGACGTGACCGACCGCTCAAGCCGCTAACGAGTGGCGAAGAGGATAAAAGTAAAAGATAAAAAGTGTAAAAAAGAACTAAGAATACGGCGTTGTGGTATGGTGTGTAAAACGTCCATAGACCTTTTGAAAAAAAATCTACAAAAACTGAAAGATTGCACATACAAAGTTGAGGTCTGGGTCCGGCCCTGTTTAGTGTAATGCAACAATTTTGTCTATGGTTATATAAACAGGTGTTTTCGCTGAATACTGAAAATGAAGTAAAGTTAAATGAATAAATAATTGAAGCAACATTATACGTCAAACAGAACACAAACTGTTATCGTTTATCGTGCTTAAGATAATTACCCAGTTTTCTTTTCATTTATGTGACCCATAATTGCGATATCGGTTAAATTAAAAGAAATAGAAAATAGATTCTCCTGAAAATCAATGCGGCCGACAGCGAACATATCTCGGCCAGATATAGGGAATGTATCGGTACAGAGCTGTGTGGACTGTGGAGCACAAGGTAATGTTGTGGCGCCAGGCTGGAAGTTGCTAAGGGATCTGTGCCGCCACCTACAGTACGATACTTATTCGTGATTTTACTGATAAATAAAACTAGACCATCAGCTTCTCAGTACGTCCTTGTAAGTCACGTATCTTCAGAATATGAGGCAATTTTTGTGCTTCGCAGATATATAAGGAAAATACCTGTGATTCTCTGTATACAAGTAATTAACGGGATGGACATTTTGCATTGGTATGACACATTCCCCGGTCGTCTCTACTTGGCCGCCATAAACTCACCAGTAGGCTACTTGTGAAGGGGAACTTGTTTCTCCGTCTCCGACAGTGAAGGATACTAACTCAGGGTTAATTCTGGACCAAAGCCTCTATACCTTATCAATTATCTTCACCTCTGTACGATACATTAATCAGCACCATTATATGACATCTTTTTGACAGCTTCTAACACCTGGTTTATATTAAAAATGGTCATCATCTAATATATATAAACAAAAGTGTTAATTCTTTAACTAGATCAACTATTCACACTCTTCTACCAGACTTGAAGCAGCAAGCGTGCCCCAAGCAGAAAATACCAGGCTTACGAGCTGCCGAACACCTTCCAGCAGATATCTTCATACAAAGCCCAATCTTACACAACGATCACCTTCCTAGAATGACCAGCTAGCTTCCTATAGTGTTTACATTGTGTTAATATTTGAGGGATGTTAAGTGAGGCGGTGGTGGTGTGTGAGAGTGATGGGGTACAGCCCTAAGAAGGAGAGGAAGCAAGGAGTACTCATGGCGCTCTGGACCAAAGTGTGTCGCCTCATTAACCTCGCCGTAGCCTGCATCATGGGCTTCACCGCCCTCCTCCAGGTGAGTCAGTGACCACACACAGTGTATAGAGAGCCCCCTGGTTAATCTTGGGAGAGAGATATTGAAGAACTACTGGTTAATCTAGGGTGAGAGAGAGATATTGAAGAACTACTGGTTAATCTAGGGGGTGAGGGCCATGAAATAAAGGACTTAACTCTTTAAAACTGCTGAAAAATTTACACTTGGTTCATAGTAATACCCAGACACAGGCAAATATGATCGTGTGCAAATAAACTACTTGATAATAATAATAACAATAATAAAAACAACAACAATAATAATAATAAAAAAATATAATAATAATAATAATAAAGAAAATAATAATAACGACAACAACAATGATAATAATAATAATAATAATAATAATAATAATAATAATAATAATAATAATAAATTTAGGTATCTTCGTCTGTGATCTTCTAGGTCTTAATTCACAGTTAAAACTCACTATTAGGAAACAATTTCATGTATTTCATGTTTTCTGCCTGTTTGTGGGTCTGTCTGTCTGTGAGTCTGTCTTCTTTCATAGCAGTACGGACCCAGATTATCGCCTGAGGTCAATATAATATAATTCTGGCATATTGTTTTGACCCCCCTCAGCTATATAAGAGTGGTTAATGCCATGTTGTACGTTACAGATGGAGAGACCTGACGCCCTCATCTGGGTGGTGAGTATTATAACACAGTTTACTATGATCAACACACACACACACACACACCTGGGGAAACCTAACCAAGATGGCGACTGACGACTTAGCAATAATAAAAATAATAATAATAATAATAATAATAATAATAATAATACTAATACTAATACTAATAATAACAACAACTAATGATACAAGTGTCTTCCCTCAGCCACTCTTCCTGGTTCCTGCCTTTCTGACATTCATTATCTCCGTCCACCTGAGATCTGCAGGTAAGTGATGGTGAGGTGATAGTGAGGTGGTGATAGTGTGGGTGTGAGGTGATAGTGAGAGGTGTTAGTGAGGGTGTGAGGTGATAGTGTGGTGTGGGGTGATAGTGAGAGGTGTGTGGTGATAGTGAGGGTGTGAGATGTTAGTGGGGTGTGGGGTGATAGTGAGAGGTGTTGGCGAGGGTGTGTGGTGATAGTGAGGGTGTGAGGTGATAGTGTGGTGTGGGGTGATAGTGAGAGGTGTTGGCGAGGGTGTGTGGTGATAGTGAGGGTGTAAGGTGATGTGATAGTAAGGTATTAGTGAGAGTGTGAGGTGATTGTGAGGTGATAGTGAGGGTGTGAAGGTGTGATGGTGAGTGTGAGGGAGGTGTGAGGGTGACGGTGTGTGTGAGGGTGAATGAGGGAGGTGTGAGGTGTGTGGTGAGGTGGTGGGAGGGGAGGTGTGAGGGTGTGTGTGATGTGTGGGGAGGGGAGGTGTGGGAGGTGTGTGAGTGTGAGGGAGGGGAGAGGTGAGTGTGTGTGAGGGTGGTGTGAGGGGAGGTGTGAGGGTGTGTGAGGGGTGTGGAGGGAGGTGTGGGTGTGAGGGTGTGAGGTGTGGGAGGGTGGTGTGAGGGAGGTGTGGGTGTGAGGGGTGTGAGGTGTGTGAGGGGGGTGAGGTGTGTGAGGGTGAATGGGGAGGTGTGAGGGAGGTGTGGGTGTGGGGGTGTGAGGGTGGTGTGAGGGTGTGTGGGTGTGGGAAGAGCTAATCAATAGTCTTGGAAGTTTAACTCACCACCACCTAGCGTGTACGAGTGCCCTCACACACACACACACACACACACACACACACACACACACACACACACACACACACACACACACACACACACACACACACACACACATGCACACACACACACACACACACACACACACACACACACACACACACACACACACACACACACTCCATGTTTGCATATCGTTTATTTTTATTTATTCATTTCCAGTTTAGAGTCATCATATTTATTGAGGCAGTTACACACGATCGTTGTTAGGGGCTTTGTTGTGTTGTATGACCATGGTGTGTGTGTGTGTGTGTGTGTGTGTGTGTGTGTGTGTGTGTGTGTGTGTGTGTGTGTGTGTGTGTGTGTGTGTGTGTGTGTTTTATAGAGTGTGTGTGTGTGTGTGCGTGTGTGTGTGTTATAGAGTGTGTACTGTACAGGTGGTAGACCCCTCACTATGTGTTACAGAGAAAGTGGAGGTGCGGGCCGTGACGTCAGTACACATCGGGTGCTGCCTGTGTTACCTGGTGTACTTAGCCACCAGCCTCCTGCGTGCCCTCACCTTCGAGTCGATTAACTTCAGCATGGTGGACCCTCAGGCCGGCAGAGAAACCGGAAGAATTACTAACTTCTTCTCTCACCACGAAACTTGGTGAGTACTCTACCAGGTCCTTGTTGCCTTGTTTCTCCTGTAGGTAATAATGACTCCTTCTGTGTCTCCTACAGGCAACTCTGACCCCTTGTGTGTTCTCCTGCAGGGAATGTATAGCAGTGGGCATGATCGTAGCCTGGCTAAAGTTCCTATCCATCACCTCCAAGGACCACTTAAGGTTAGTACTGCCTCTTAAGTGCCTCTGAATTCCCCATAAATGCATCTGATTTCCTTTTAAGTTCCTCTGATTTCATCTTAAGTGCCTCTAACTTCCTCATAAGTGCCTCTGAATTCTTAAGCGCTTGTAATTTTCTCTTAAGTGCCTCTGACTTCCTCTTTAGTGGCCCTGATTTGCTCTGAAGTGCCTCTGACTTCCTCTTAAGTGCCTCTGACTTCCTCTTTAGTGGCCCTGATTTGCTCTGAAGTGCCTCTGACTTCCTCTTAAGTGCCTCTGATTTCCTCTTAGGGAGATGAGACGAGAGAAGGGAGGAAGGGGAAGGGATGGAGGCAAGAACAAGGAGACGAAGCGAGTAAAATGGTTTGAGGGAAGGAAGAGGAGAGGAAAGGAGAAAATGAGGGAGGGAGGGAGGGAGGGAGGGGAGGAGGAGGAGGGAGGGAGGGAGGGAGGAGAGGGAGGCAGGGAGGGGAAGAGGAAGGTAGTCAGGAAGGGAGGGAGGGAGGCCAGAGGGAGGGAAGGAAGGGGGCCAGAGAGGGAGGGAGGGAGGGAAGTAACCATATTCTATCACTGTCTTTCTCATCTAATAGGGAATAGAATCTTTCTTAAAGGGATTCAGTCCTAAGAAGTCCATTCCTAAGGGGATCCAATCCTAATGGTCAGGTTAGATTGGGGTCCAGAGGAATTAGGACCCTGGAGGATTGGGGGCTTGGAGCCTTGCAGAATGGAGACCTAGGAAGATTGGGAGCTTAGGGCCTAGCACGGATTGGGGGAGGGGGGGCGTAGGACCTAACAGCATTGGAGCCCAGGAGGTTTGGGGGTTTAGGGCCTAGCAAGGATTAGGGCCCAGGAAGATTAGGGACTTGGGGCCTAACAGGAGCGGCACTTGAGAACAACGATACAAAGAGAACATGAAAGTCTTAGGCCAGGAGGAGGAGGTCGAGATTATAACCTGTAAGAGGGGTCCCGTGAGGCGAGTGTTTGAACAGCGTCTCTCTCTCACTCTGTCTCTGTCTTTCTTTCTCTCTCTCACTGTCTTTCTTTCTCTCTCTCACTGTCAGTCTGTCTCTGTCTTTCTTTCTCTCTCTCACTGTCTTTCTTTCTCTCTCTCACTGTCAGTCTGTCTCTGTCTTTCTTTCTCTCTCTCTCACTCAGTCTCTCTCTCTCTATCTCTTTTTCTCCCTTTTACCACTCACTTCTGTATCTCTCTGTTTCCCTCTCTTTCTTTCTTTCTCTTTTTGTTTCTCTTTTTTTCTCATTTTCAACGACAGATAGAATCAATGACTGACACAAGACCGAACACACACAATCAAAGACTGACACAGGACCGAACACACACAATTAATGGGTGAGAGGAGAGGTGGATCCCCGGGGAAGAAAGACACTATCAGCACAATGTCAACTCTGGACACTTACGATCACACAATCAATCGTCGCCTCTTCAACCCGCTGGTCCACACTTGTCACCCCAGACCTTTGTAACACAGGACTCATATTCTCAAAGGTTATTGTGTTGTATTACTCACCCCCCAAGTGGTAATGTGAGGATGTATCTAGGTAGTAGGCAGCTACCAAACAGGGAGGTACTACCGCCTGGGAACATATTGGAAGCATAATATGTTGTCTAATGGTAGACCCTGCTGCCATATGGCATCACGAAAATTGTGACCAAGTCCCAGGTTGCTAATCTGACTTTCTGCCTCATTTACACACAATTGTAGGGTCTCAATTGTTTCTCACTTTTTATTATATATTTTTTTAATTATTATCATTATTATTATTATTATTATTATTATTATTATTATTATTATTATTATTATTATTATTATTATTATTATTACTACTACAGAGTTTTTTATTATTATTATCATTATTATTTTTATTTGTTATTATAAATTTTATTTACTATGAATTATTATTATTATTTATTATTACTATTACATTTTCGCCCCCCAGGCTCCAATGTGGGTCAGTGACCTGTGCCCGGGTGGGCTGATCCCTGTAAAAAAAAAAAAAAAGCTACGACATATTCGAAGCACCAAAATGACATCAAAATTGTACAATGATTTATCATGACTAGATGGCGTTCTTTTATACTGTGGAGTGACAGAAATTATCGTATGGATCTTGGTGTGGGGTTCCTCCTGGGGACGATGGTGCGTGGTGATAGGTGGGTGACGACCACACTTGATGGGCGTCAGCGTTCCTCCACCAAAGTACTGTATGGTGAGGTCGTCTGGGCGTCCAGCTGGCCAGGGGAAATATCGTAGTTATAGCATTAACCAGCAGTACAGTGAGCTGGCTACCGGCTGAGATTGAACACACAATATTCACAGCTTTCTAATCCTCCCTTCAGCAGCTCCTAGTTATTAAGAAAACGTATCAAATTTACCAAAGGATTCTAGTCCTCGGAACAAGACAACGATAGATCCTCCCACCAAACTCGCCCTCGCGCTGTGTGTCAGTGTGTGACAAATCTGAGTTTGTGACGATTAGTTCAGTTGTCAACAGTTCTTATATATCTTGTTCTATAATCCTACTAGTTCAAAAACACAAGAGATCCTGTAAACTTACACTTTTAGCAACACTATTCCATAGACTACAATCTCAGTTCTTAAAAAAAATTATGTTACCATCAGATTCACAACTCTCTCAACAATAGGAATCTGATTTTCAATAGAGGTGTCAAGGAGATATTTGTCAGCGACGGCCGGAGTCTGGAGGTTAAGATCTGGTACCGTACAAGTGACACAATCTGGCGGGTAAAAGAACCAGTTATCAGTCGACTTTGACAACTGCACTAAACAGACGCTCTCTCCTCCACCACCAGGGACTCTGGGGCGGCCAAGACGGAGGTGTCGCCTATCAGGATGTTGTGGACAATCTGTGTGGTGCTGATCGTGCCATTCTGCCTCCTCTCCTTCTGCTACATCGACGGCCTCCTGCCCTTCATATCCAGTGCCGCTAAAGACGCCGTCCACACCGCCCAGGACGCTCTCCAGATCATAGTGAACGTCAATTCGCAACCCAACAAACTAACTGGCCCAGCCTAGCCACAGCAAGGCAGTGATGTAGCTGGTGTATGTGTGTGTGTGTGTGTGTGTGTGTGTTTCTGATGAGGAAGAGAGCTGCTGTTATATGTGTACATGATGAGAAGTAGCTTGTACGTATGTATGTATGTATGTATGTATGTATGTATGTATGTATGTATGTTTATCTGTGTATCTGTGTGTGTGTCTGTCGGGTCAGGATGAGTCATATTCACAGCCGTTGTGAAACACCTGGTGACGTCAATTATGGATTAATTGTAGGACACATGCAACCACCTACTCCCTTCACCTCCCCTTTCCCCTCGTCCTCCTCCTCTCTTCCCTTTACCCCTTCCTCCTTTCATCGTGTTCCTCCTCGTCTCCCTTCCCCCACTGCTCCCTTTTCTACCTTCACCCTCCACTCCCTCTTCTCCCCCTCACACAATGCTCCATCTTTTCCCCTAACCCTCACCCTCTCCTCCCCTCTCACTCTCCCGTCTTCTCCTCCCTTCACACTCGTCCTCCTTTTGGTGATTTACGACCTATGAGACACCCTGTACATCTTTCCGGCACACGACCTATGAGACACCCTGTACATCTTTCCGGCACACGACCTATGAGACACCCTGTACATCTTTCCGGCACACGACCTATGAGACACCCTGTACATCTTTCCGGCACACGACCTATGAGACACCCTGTACATCTTTCCGGCACACGACCTATGAGACACCCTGTACATCTTTCCGGCACACGACCTATGAGACACCCTGTACATCGGCACACGACCTATGAGACACCCTGTACATCTTTCCGGCACACGACCTATGAGACACCCTGTACATCTTTCCGGCACACGACCTATGAGACACCCTGTACATCTTTCCGGCACACGACCTATGAGACACCCTGTACATCTTTCCGGCACACGACCTATGAGACACCCTGTACATCTTTCCAGCACACGACCTATGAAACACCCTGTATTATGTTTAGGTTAGGTCAGGTTAGTTCAGGTCAGGTTAGGTTAGGTCAGGTTAGGTCAGGTCAGGTCAGGGTTAGGTGAGGTTAGGACACACCCGCTGACCCTTAACGCACCATGGGTCACGCCTGGGTATAGGAGGACGGCTACACGACAAAGATGAACTATATTCCCGCGTTGCCTCGACTGTCTCTTGTGATTGAATATTGCCACGGGAGATCACTGTGAGAGTTGATGATGAATACACAGAAAAAGAGGCCAATAAATACCACAAATCCCCCCGGATACTTGGCAATATCTATCATGTATCGACTTGAGGTTTATTAAGCAAAAGGTTGGAATTTTAATAGGTAGGTACTCATTTACAGCTGGGTCGACTAGGAGTACCTCAGGATAGAACCACCGACCCATATGCCAGGAGGTGAGCATTGTATCCACTCAACCACCGCACTTAATACATTTTCTCATATTGTTCTTTGTATTAAGGAGTGTTTTTACCATTCTGTGATACCGACATAATTGCATCGTTAGGTGATGTAAACACAATCATACTGTATATACGACCCAGAAGAGCCAAGTGTTTCGGGAAATATGTTAACAACTGTACATCTTTCTTAGTTTGCGGCGGTACTTGGTGAGAGACTAGACAAGTACTGGGCAGACTAAAATATATATTCCTATTGCATAATCCTGATAAAATGTACTTGAAGCAGTCTATGACCCTTGCTTGTGGTGTGTGTGTGAGTGTGTGAGTGTGTGTGTGTGTGTGTGTGTGTGTGTGTGTGTGTGTGTGTGTGTGTGTGTGTGTGTGTGTGTGTGTGTGTGTGTGTGTGTGTGAGTTTGTGTGTTAAACTGAGTGTTATATTGATTACTATTTACTGTATATAGACTTCAGAATTACAGATGAAATGAACCTAACCTAACCCGACCAACCTTAACTTAACCTAACCTAACCTAACCCGACCAACCTTAACTTAACCTAACCAAACCCGACCAACCTTAACCTAACCTAACCTAACCTAACCTAATCTAGACATATCAGTTCTTGTGGAGTGTATACAAATTAATCTATTTTGACCTAATTTTCTTTACTCTGTTTTGTTGGTTAAAAAATAGATGTTTACTATTACTCAAAGTTAAAATAAAAGTATATACATATTTAATAGTTTCTGCTGTGTCATGTTATAGTGAAAGTAGTATACTTTCAGATGACACTAAACCACTTTTGTCTTATAACTGTGAAACAAAGTTGTGTGGAAAATGTTCTTTATTGTCCCTCATAACCAATAATAATAATAATAATAATAATAATAATAATAATAATAATAATAATAATAATATTTAATAATAATAATAATGGTTTGATGGAGATATTTTAAGGAAGAGCTACTTTAGGTGGTAGTACTTTAAGGGAGTGATACGTTAGGTGGGAGATACTTCAAGGGAGATTAAGGTTTAAGGGAGAGAGAGGCGGGTTAACACTACTGTACACGGCGCCACATGACCATAAACACAGACCTGAGCAGTGTAATGGTTGGTGGTCAAAACTGTGTGTGAGAGAGCGAGAGAGAGAGAGAGAGAGAGAGAGAGAGAGAGAGAGAGAGAGAGAGAGAGAGAGAGAGAGAGAGAACGTCCGGTGGATCAATGACTGCTAGAGCACCACACCCACCACCCACCAGAAGGTTGCTCAATGGTGGTGCTCACTTTGGGGTGGACCATTAGAGCACCACACACCACCACCACCACCACCACCACCCACCACGCGTCCTTAATCATGCGTCTCTTTCATGCGTCAGTAAATCGTGCGTATGTATGCCAGGCGTGTGTGTCATGGGTCCGTTTGTGTATCCATCCGTCCGTCCGTATCGTCAAAGAATCACGAACGCAATAACAGGGAAGAGACAAGGACAAACAAAGACAAAAATCCGGTGCGTGAATTTAATCAAAACAAGATCTAGGACGTGAGGTAATCAGTACATTCTGTCAATACCAGCCGTGAGAGCTACGGCCTCTTGTGGTGTGGCGGGGAGTGACTCACCTGGTCCTGGTAACTTTCCATTTCAGTAGATGTCTGTTAGGTGGTACTTCAGTCTGTTGTCGTTTTTAAGTGTCTGTTAGGTGGTACTTCAGTCTGTTGTCGTTTTTAAGTGTCTGTTAGGTGGTACTTCAGTCTGTTGTCGTTTTTAAGTGTCTGTTAGGTGGTACTTCAGTCTGTTGTCGTTTTTAAGTGTCTGTTAGGTGGTACTTCAGTCTGTTGTCGTTTTTTAAGTGTCTGTTAGGTGGTACTTCAGTCTGTTGTCGTTTTTAAGTGTCTGTTAGGTGGTAGTCTGTTGTCGTTTTTAAGTGTCTGTTAGGTGGTACTTCAGTCTGTTGTCGTTTTTAAGTGTCTGTTAGGTGGTACTTCAGTCTGTTGTCGTCTGGTACTTCAGTCTGTTGTTTTTAAGTGTCTGTTAGGTGGTACTTCAGTCTGTTGTCGTTTTTAAGTGTCTGTTAGGTGGTACTTCAGTCTGTTGTCGTTTTTTAAGTGTCTGTTAGGTGGTACTTCAGTCTGTTGTCGTTTTTAGGTGTCTGCTAAAATTATTATATACAATATATATTTTTTTTACAAGCATAAACAATAACATTCTTCCTACCATGCACTGAGGAGCTCTATTATATGACATATTATCATCACTGTGTTTATGACGGAGACCTCAGCTGACTTCACCCCTCAATCCCCCCTCACCCCTCACCCCATCCCCTCTCACCTCCCAATCCCCAATCCCCCCCCATCCCCCATCACCCATCCCCTCACCCATCCCCTCACCCCCCATGCAGTGGATGTGACGTGAAAGTGGTGGGATGATGAATTAAAGCAACATTCACATTCTCAAGAGATTCCTGCTGTAATCTTCCCCTCTAACGTTAATGTTTAAGCCCTCCAACGTTTTTCTTTCCCTCTAACGTTAATGTTTAAGCCCCCCAACGTTTTTCTTCCCCTCTAACGTTAAATTTTAAGCCTTCCAACGTTCCTCTTCCCCTCTAACGTTAAATTCTAAGCCTCCAACGTTTAACTTCCCCTCTAACGTTTTTATTCTAATTACAGAAGAGTCTCAAGAGTGACTCGATGTCATTGTGGATGGTGTACTGTAGCTTGAGTCAGTGAGCTTCAGACGTTTATACAGGTGGTAATTTACGGTTGTATTAATTAAATGACTGCAGATCCCCGTGAGCTAAAGGACTGAATACCGCCGCCTACCGAACATATGTCTAATTAAACTGTACAGTAAAACCTCTATTTAACGGACTATAATGAAGAGGAAAATCCGTTATATCGAGTGTCTGTTAGTTGTGAAACCTCCATCTAACGAACTATGTAGATATGGAAGTCCGTTATATCGAGGGTATATTAGTTGTGAAACCTCCATCTAACGAACTATGTAGATATGGAAGTCCGTTATATCGAGGGTATATTAGTTGTGAAACCCCTCATAACGAATTTTATATCGAGAGAAGTCCGTTATATCGAGGATCTGTTAGTTGTGAAACCTCCATCTAACGAATTATATAGAATGTCCATTATATCCAAAAGTCCATTATGTAGAGGTTTCACTGTATATACCACCATAATATACCCCAAGAACGTGTACAGTATGTTTAGTGGATGAATTAAACCAAATTAAACCAAGTATTATTATGATGAGTTTTGGTCGTTTATATAAATCATCTACACTACATTACCGCGATACATCAACAAGAAGAAATAACTTGATAAAAACACACGAAGAATCAGTAGAGTGGCGCAGTGCAGACGTGACCAACAGTAAAACTCCCTCTGGCTCTCAATGATTCCTTCAGTACGTTAAGTCAGCTATAAAAAAATACATCTTGGTGTCTAGAAATTGGACTAATGGTTAGGTTAGGTTAGGTTTTATGTCTAATCTTATTTACGTAACAACAATGAGGTAGAAAATATAAGAACGCAAATATTTATTAATTTTTCAAGGTTCTGACAACTGAAGCGACTACATAAATCAACACTGTGTAAAAAAAATTATTCTACATTTTTTCTATTATTTTTTGTTGAGAATTTGTATTAAAAGTCTAAAAGTTTCCTGTTATGAAGAACTAAGACTTGCGTTTACAGTTTATTTTGAAAGTTTTATTTTTTCTCATCAAATTAAGTTATGTTCTGTGACCCTGGAGAGTGAAGCATCTGAACCCAAAACAACGAGACCTGGTTGTGGCTTAAGACTCCATATTACACCAACACTTGATAAACAAAAACTCCAGAAATTATAAATATGATGAATAAAATTCCCTCAACCTTAATGGCATTTTTTGTAGGGCAGATCCTTATAACTAGAGATACTGTTAAATACCAAAGTGTACAAGATAAGACTGAGTGTTACTGTGGAGGAATTTTAATGTATTCAGTGGCTCGGCAGCGTCTCTCCCTCGCCTCCCCATTCGTCGCTGATTGGAACGAACAAGACCTTAAGTATATGCGACCCAATCTTCATTACGGGTCCCACATCCTGCACAACTGCGCCACCCACCCGAGTCTCGCTCTAACCTACACTGACACCCAAGAGCTCTTTACACACTCGAGGGAGAGAGGCGAGGAAGAGGGTATTGTTTCCAAGGCTGTG